CTATCTATATATATATATATATGTCTATCTATCTATCTATTTACCTATCCATTTATATTTTTCTTATCCATTTATATATCTATCTATCTGTTTATCTATCTATTAATCAATCAATCATTCCATCTATCTATATTTTAATCCATTTATCCGTCTATCTATCTATCTATCATTCTATCTATCTATCTATATATATATATATAGGTTTTTAATTTTTCTTAAGGCTCAATTGAGTCTATATAAGAAGTATGATAGAGCCGGATATTGTTCCTTGCCTAGTGTTATCATAAGACTCTTACAAAAATGAAACCCAGCTCTGATGATGTCCATCGAATGATGCACAAAAGCTCAGCACGTTTTCACGCGAAATGAGGGAGGAAGTCTTGTGGACTGTGTCAAAATGAATATCGTGTAAAAGCCAAACGGCTGCAGTACAACGAGATTCATCCGTCCTCATCCGGTGAGATTGACCAATGAGTCTCTTCTTCATTCACTTTCATACGAAATAAAGGTCCCCCTAACAAAGTTATCTTTGGCTCAGCAAATCAACCCCGCATAATCATGCCCCTCCCAGCTATATCACCATCTCGATGATTAGTTATTCCCTTTTACTCATTCATACTAAGAACTAGTTGTGTTGTACCTCGACACACTTATTCGCATATTCAGCAACACATACACACACAAACACAAACGTTTAAATAGAAGGATATTTGGAATAGCATAAGAAAGATGCAGTAAACCATTTTAAGTTTATCCAAATACAACATGTAAATGTTTGTTTTAGATTTTTTCAAGAATGCTCAAATCGGCATGGCGCACGAAAGCTCAACCCCTTGTTCCACATGAGCGACATGGTAGCACCAAACGACAGCACAACAACGGAAATTGGCCGTCGTCTTCTGGTATCGTCTTGACTGCCCCCCACCCCCCTCTACGAGAATCAGGCCTTGAATTACAGTAAAACAGTTCTGTCTTTAGCATCTGCCCGACACGGAGGGTAGTGACGCCGACAAGTGCTGTACCTCTCAAGCGTAAATGATTGCGGCTGTACCCGATACGACGTCATCTACCCCGACCTCGGCAACAAGAAAGTCGGGTTGTATGATCAAATATGCATGAATTGTTGTCAGTCACTCGAAGGCCTGCCGCTCAAACTCCGTCCAGGAGTAGTAGAAGTGACTCAACGTAAAGTTGAAGCCTCGCAGGCAGATTAGGATTGGTGGGCTTTGGCATACTGACACTCCAGGCCCTAGGCAACAGTCTAACTACAGAAGAGAGAGCTCGAGTCCCGACTGGGGTAGAGTGTCGAAGGAAGTCGGTGAAATTGGGCTGCGAGAGTCCCGTAGGAACAAAAGAGACCGGAAATGTGAAACTGGAAACCGAAACCGGAAACCGGATTGAGATTCGGAGGCCGAGAAGTTGACTCACCTTGATTCTGTCTTGGCGGACGGCGGCCGTGTTCTCGAGCTGCTTCTGTACCGCCTCCTGGTCTTCGAGGCGTCGGCGCGCCCGTGCCATCCACCGGATGGCATCGTCGCGTTCGTGAGACACGCTGCCCAGCATCCGCTCGAGATGGTCCAACTGCTTCGACAGTCGAGCCTTGTCTGCTATCGCCACTTCGCTCGACGTCTGAGTGGGTATGGTTGAGGTGGTCAGTGCCCGAAAACGCGGTGCAGTTTAACATCTGAAGAGAGATTCTGTCTGGTTGTGCTAGTGCAAGCATGAGTGCATCCAGACCCCACAAACAAGACTCACCTGACCACATTTACCAGTCGCCCCAACGACGCAAAGTGAGGCGCCATGCGCCGAAAACAGCGCTTCTTCTCTTGGGGCTGATAGAAAATATTTTGCCAGTTACTGGCCCAGTCTACCTCCGACACCCAAAGTCATTCATTTATCACATGATTCATATATGCATATATATATATGTATAAATAATATTGTCAAGTATGAAATAATAAGGTAATTATAGATACATGTTATATGCTATAGATAGGCATAGATAATTGTGGCAAGGAAAACAATACAATATATTATAAACACACGTAGTAGCAAGAGATCAAGCGGGAATGAGTAGTATAGTTGTCAGTAGTTTGCTGTCGAATACTGTTGAATAAATTAAGCAATAATTTGATGCTATCACATTTATTATTTATTATTGTATTTGCATTTTGTCCCATACAGAGACCGCTGTATGTATTTTCTGTTTTCACATTTTCCATATTCACTTTTTAGCCGATTTTAGCTGACTCCAGTCCTAACTGATAAAAAAGAGTATGAAAACTAATCAGGTTTTCGAAGAATCCCTTAACTAGTTATTGCGACTCGATTTTATTTTGGAGAGAAAAGGACCCTGGGCGTCCTAAGTAACATCGAATAATGCAGGGCTGATAGTCGAATTGTCCCACAGAGCTGTGGGTGTAGAAGTGGTCTGACCTCGTGTTCGCAACTCGGCCGAGTTGTCAAGTTAAAATAGTTGGACACATCTTGTCAGAAGTCGTCTGCTGCAGTAGTTATGCTAGTTTCCAGTGTCGAACCGTGGATTTGGTACATTCCCCAGACTTTTTGCCAATCTCATAGTCTGAGAATGTGCCAAGTCCACGGTCCAACGCTGAAAACTAGCATAACTACTGCAGCAGATGACTTCGGACAAAATTCCTCCAACCAGTTAACCATGACAACACGACCAAATTGCAAACACGAGGTTAGACCACTTCCATACAAGTATAGGAGGAAGCTACCTAAACAAAGGCTACAAGGTAAGAGCATGCTTTCCATAATGCATTCTCTTCCAAAGTGGAATCAACACCGCCAACGGGACTCGATCGAGGACTCCTTCACACAATCCAACAGTCTGCACTTCAATGGGGGGCGTGTGTGTGTGTGTGTGTGTGTGTGTGTAAAGCAGTACAATTCCTCTCTGCCACACACCAACAAGTTCCATCGGGTTGCAGGATGGATCCAGTCAGTTAAATGTTCCCCAACTTTACATTCAATTAATAGAACTGTTAAGTGAAGAAGAGTTGGGTTTCGAGCAATCTCTTGTTTCATAATTGTTGAGTTTACTTTCATTTCGAGTGAAAGTGTTTGGTGAAGAGTTTCCAAGGTCGATTCTAACAGAAGACGACGGCGGATTCCTCTTGACCAGCTGTCTATTGGCTTTACTGGAGCATTCATGGTGACGCTGTTACCAAGGCAACCTCCTTCGATTCCGGGGAAAATGTGTTAGGCTTTCGTCTATCGTGTGATGATCATCATCGTCACAACCAAACTCAAGCTAACGAGGGAATTGCCGGTGACTTTTTTTGACTCATTAGCTTGAATTTGGTTGTGACGATGATGTTCGTCACATGATAGACGAAAGCGTAGCACCTTTTCCCGGAATCGAAGGAGGTTGCCCTGGTAACAGCGTCACCATGAATGCTCCAGTAAAGCCAATAGATAGCTGGTCAAGAGGAATCCGCCGTCGTCTTCTGGTGTAACCGACCGTGGGATATCTTCATCGCACACTTTCACTCGAAATGGAAGTGAGCACAACAATTATGGGACCTATTTATCCAACTTTGAAAAAATGTAACTATCAATTGGCATCAGATTACGTGGCCCTGAGATGGGATAGAACCCTTTTTTCACATTTACCGATGTTTTAGAAAATCCAATTTCTCTGAATTTAAAGGAAGATCGCCTGAAATCCTCAACTTCCTGATCTGCCACTTCGATTCATCTGTTTCCCAGTTACTGTCATCTGAATAGCCCCAAACCACTATTTGTAAAACGACAACCTTTTACAAATCTGCATTACGATTTATTATGAAGCATCCGAGAATGCGATTGACTACTTTATGCTTGATACTCATAAATAACGTTGCTTCTATAGACTATCAGTAATTAGTGATCCTTGAGCAGAATGTAGACGATTGAGGCCCCCTCTTTCTTGCCACTTTTATGCTCACTTTGTTTAGGCTTATAAAGCAGCCAAAAATACTTGCCTCTTATCCTTCACACTCATTTCTCCTATTCGGGATGTGGGCTGTTTACTTCATTCGCATAGACTTCCAAATCTTAGGCGAAGCTGTGAAATTGTCATTTATTGCAAAATGTGTGAATTCAAACCACGCTATTTGATGTTATGTGTTAGCCACATGCCTTTTTCAGCTGACACTTTTAGACACAATCAACTTTGCAGACAGTTTTGTGTTTAAATAGCCTCTCCTAGAGGGTCCGGCGCATGGTCCCTACCAGTTGAGCGCGAAGACGCCAACCACCCTGACCTAGAAAACAGGTCCGAAGATTCTTGAAAATAAGTCAAAATGTTATTTTATCACAATCCATTATACTGAAGTCCCAAATGCTCAGTAGTTCATCTATTTTTGTGGAAAGCTGAACGAGAGACCAAGGAGAGTGAGCCAGCTGTATTCTATATTTTTTTATTGTTGAAATGTAATTGTCTCTTAATTCTATCAGATGACTTTCTTGCCGGAAAATATTCCTAAATTTCACCATTTTCTAGTTTTGAAGGTTCACTTCTGCTAAACCCAAACATATACATATTTGCGGGGTATGCATATTTTGCTATTTAAATGTATGTCTATATTTATAAATATTTATCTATATATAAATGTATATACGTATATATGCATATATATGTTTATTGATATAGTTGTACATTT